AAAAATGGTAAACAGTAGAGACTAAATCAGGGATTTTTTTAGTTCAGGGACTAAATCGGGGGTCCGTACAATAATTCAGGGACCAAAAAGGGGTTTTAACCTAAAATATATGTCTAAGCATGGATATTTAACTTGTCAAAATGATTTTAAAAATAAAGGTGAAATTTGTGTGCAAGGAAAGATGACTAGAAAACCTTTTCCAAAAAGAGAAAGAAATACAGAAATATTAGAGTTAGTGCATTTTGATATTTGTGAATTAAATGGTTATCTTACTAGAGGGGGTAAAAGATATTTCATAGCATTCATTGATGATTATTCTAGATTTACATATGTGTATCTTATGAGAACAAAAGATGAGGTTTTTGACAAGTTTAAAAAGTATAAATCTGTTGTGGAAAATCAAAAAGAGAAGAGAATTAAAGCTCTTTGTAGTGATAGGGGTGGTGAGTATTTTTCAAATATGTTTTCACAATTTTGTGAAGAACATGGCGTCATACATCAAAGAATAGCCCCCTATTCAGCCCAATAGAATGGTTTGGCAGAAAGAAAAAATAGAAGTTTGGTTGACATGGTTAATTGCATGTTGATAAATTCGAAGTTGCCATTTAATCTTTGGGGAGAGGCACTTCTTATTGCCAATCATGTTACCAACAGAATTCCATCAAAGAAAACTCATGTTTCTCCATATGAGACTTGGAATAATGTTAAAAAGCCAAATCTGAATTATCTTAAAGTGTGGGGGTGTCTTGCCTTTTATAAGGTTTTAGACCCACAAAGAAAAAAAATTAGGACCTAGAGGCATTAGAAGTGTATTTGTTGGTTATGCAATTAATTCTAAGGCCTATATGTTACTAGATTTAGAGTCAAATGTTATAGTAGAATCTGTATATGTTGTATTCTTTGAAGACAAGTTTATTAAAGATTCTTCTACTATGTTTGATTTTGGAACTTCTTTGAACAATTCACTGCATGAAAATCATAATGGTACAAGTACAAGTACACTTCATGAGGAGAAAAGAAAAAAGAATGATGGTTCAATGGAACCAAGAAGAACTACAAGAATTAGGAGAGAAAAGTCTCTTGATCTTGATTTTATTTTTTCTCAGTCTATTGTCTCCTAGTTGAAACAACTAGAACTGAAATAATTTGAAAAATACCCATGATATTAAATGTTGAAGAAGATCCAAAAACATTTCAAGAAGTAATGGCTTCAAGGGATGCAACTTTTTGGAGAGAAGCTGTGAATGATGAGATGGACTCTATTATGTCCAATAATACTTGGATTTTAGTGGATTTTCCATATGGCTCTAAACCAATTGGTTGTAAATGGGTATTTAGACGAAAATACAATACAGATGGAACAATACAAACCTTCAAAGCAAGGTTGGCTACAAAAGGTTTTACTCGAAAGGAAGGAATAAATTATTTTGACACATATGTTCCTGTTGCAAGAATAACATCTATAAGAGTTTTCTTTGCATTGACTTTGATTTATAAGTTGTTTGTGCATCAAATAGATGTTAAAATAACATTCTTGAATGGTGACTTAAGTGAGGAAGTATACATGAAACAACCAGAAGGCTTCATACTTCCTGGAAACGAAAGAAAAGTTTGTAAATTAGTTAAGTCACTATATGGCCTAAAGCAAGCTCCCAAGCAATGGCACTAGAAATTTGATACACATATTCTAGCAAATGGATTCAAGCATAATGATGAAGATAAGTGTATCTATTCAAAGTTCACTAAGGATTATGGAATTATAGTACATCTTTATGTTGATGACATGTTGATATTTGGTACCAACATGTTGTAAATAAATGAAACCAAAAAGTATCTAACTTCAATCTTCAAAATGAAAGATTTAAATGAAGTAGATACTATTTTGGGTATTAAAGTAAAGTGACATGATCATGGTTTTGTACTTAGTCAATCACATTATATAGAGAAGATGTTGAATAAATTCCAACATCTTAATATAAAGGAAGCCTCTCCTCCATATGATCCTAGTATAAAGTTGACCCTAAACCTAGGTCATATTGTTGCTCAATTGGAATATGCAAGTGCAATAGGGAGTTTAATGTATACCATGCATTGTACTAGGCTAGACATAGCTTTTGTAGTATGCAAATTATCAAGATACACAAGTAAACCAAGCCATGAACATTGAAAAGCTATTAGAAGAATTCTTGGTTATCTTAAAAAGACAAAAGAGCTTGGTTTGATTTACTCAGATTATCCAGTGGTCCTAGAAGGATACACTGATGCAAGCTGGATCACTAATAAGAGTGAAAACAAATCTAATTCGGGTTGGATCTTGACACTTGGAAGAGGTGTAATAAGTTGGGCATCAAAGAGACAAACATGCATCTCACATTTTACAATGGAATACGAGTTTCATACTTTGGCGGTAGCAGGCAAAGAAGCAGAATGGTTGAGATATTTATTGCTTGATATAAAGTTGTGGCCACAACCTATGCTAGCCATTTCCTTGCACTGTGATAGTGAGGCTAAAATGTCTAGAGCATATAGCAATATTTATAATGGGAAATCTAGACATATTAGTCTTAGACATACTTATATTCGAGAGTTGATCACTAGTGGAGTTATAACAATAATTTATGTAAAGTCTGTAGACAATCTAGTTGATCCTCTCACAAAAGCATTACCACGAGATGTGGTGGAAAGGATGTCATTAGGAATGGGGCTTAAATATTTAAATTAGGCATTGGTAATGGGAACCAAACTTTTATTAAGTCATTTCTAAATTTTAATTTTAATGGTAAAGAATAAGTTACTATATATGCATGTTTAGCACTTGAAACCTATTCATACTTTAGTCACTTGACTAAAGTAGGAATAGGTTTCAAGTGTTGTCTGTTGTGTTTTGGAGGATGAGTGTAAACTCATAATGGAGTTGATCATTTCTAAGTGTCTATAGCAACAAGGACATAAAGAACTCCACCTAAATGGTCATAGAAGTGGTGTCGCTTCAACAAAAACATGTTGGATTCTCTTGTAAATGACCATTATTAGCAGGATGAGCACATGGCCATAATAGTGCCAAAAGGTTTTAAACCTCTTAGATTAGATAGACAAGTCTTATGTGCGGCACATACTTATGTCTAATATAAGTAGTTATAGTTTAATCCTTGGACACCAATAACTTCATTAGATATGAAGTATGTACATCAATGGAAGGTTTAAATCAAGAGATACCTTTTTTAAACATATTTCTTGTCGAGTAGAGCTGAATTAACATTTCCAAACTAGTGGGGGAATGTTGAGTAGTTTGTAAATGTTTAAGATCCTACATCAAGAAAGTATGGGAACTTTAAAAAGCTTATAAAGGCCTATTCTTTATCAACAAATAATTAAATAAATTGAAACCAAAGGCAAATTGGGCCTTGCCCCTTTATATATAGTCAAAAGATAAGAACTTGGGTACTTATTATTTTTGGATTTTTTATTTTATTTTATTAAATTACAATTTAGAAAAACATGTTTGAAAATCAGACATAACTTTTGGCAGTCAAAAGGAATGTCTATGAAATTGTGTCTTTTTGGAGGGATACATCCCTACAAATAGTGACTTTTTAGGCAATATAAATTCCTATACAAAGTCAGAGTTCTACATCTACTTCTGAGAGAGTTTTGAGTTCTGTTGTATCACGGAGGATTTTAAATCTTTAAGGAAAGTGAGATCATGCCTCAAAACCTTTTCTTTTTATTCTTCTTCTATTCCTTATTTTCTAACATGAGATGTTGCATATGCACACATTCAAGCACTTGAGATTCCTTCAGCTGGTGGCAGATATTGCATGGTCAACACAGCTGTACACTTTCTTGAGGCTTTCAAGATATTACATGAATTATGCCCTTCTTTGCACTGAAATGAAAAGTAAGTTACATGATTCTCTTCCCTAGATTAAAACCTGAAAAGAAAAGACTTAGAAATCATTAGTGATTTTGAAATTTGGAAAGATACTGAAATTTTTTTCTCAAATCATGAAATCATGACAGATTTGAAGGCAAGCCTATTGAAAAAACGTACCAGGTATCCAAGGAGAAAGCAAAGAACTTGATTGGAAATTTCATTCCTTTGGGGATAAGTCTGAAGGACACTATTGAAAGCTTGAAGGAGAAGGGTTTTCTAAGCATATGATCAATTTCAATATGTTGTCTCTTTATGATCTTTAAATCTGTGTAATGGTTAAACTAAGATTAGGTTGAGTCACATCTATCTTGTAATCCAAGTCATTCCCTTTGTGAATTGTATGAGGCATAAGAATAAAACAAATCTGACGCTCTTTGTGCTGTCACTGTTCATGTGCAAAAGCATCAAGAAAAATTGCCCAATGACCAATGACCTTGACCATTGACCATTGACCTTGTTGTACCATGATTTCGGAATATTGTGTTTGTATTTAACGCATTTCCTCTTTCACTTTGTACAAAATTTCTGTTCTTTTCCTTTCCCGTGAAAGCTATATTGTCCAAACCCCCTTTAGATTGCTTCACACATGCACAAACTTGTGTGTTATGCTAGAAATGGGGAGATTTTTAGTTCTGGAGTTTTTGTTTGCTATTTTGTGCTTTACAACA